ACTATTTCTTATCTTCGTGGATTTTATTAGAGTATTTCTTTATTCATTTTCATGTTTATCTTTTGCATATAGTAATATTTCATTGACATATCTATTTAAATGATACATTTCCAAAGGTTTTATTACAGGTTTCCTTTGTTTGTTATCATACTATCTTTTACTTTGACGAGCAGTGATATTCCACTGCTATCTTGTTTAACTGGATTTCACGGATTATAGAATTTTTCAATTCCAAGTTATTATAGCAACAGCTATAATATCTCCTCTTTTCTAGATTTGATCTGGAAAATAATCCCTGACCAGATAAAATTAACTATGAGAACTGAAAATTAGTAGCATTCTGTTACAAAATAAATTATCCAAACGTTTTAAAAAGGTATAAACTAATAATTATAATTAAACATTTTCAATGTAATCTTATGTACTGACTTGAAATGTGTAAAGAATCAAAAATTCAATTGTACACTTTACTCGTTATAAGATCCAAATTCTTACTGAACAAATCGTCCTAAGCTTTCCACAATTTTAATATATATAAATACTTAAAATGTAAAAATAGATTTTTGTTACGAAAATGATCTGTTAGCAAGTAATTCATAGAGTAATCAAAATTCAGTCAGTGAGGAACACGTTACAGGAATTTTTGTTTCAATAATGTTCCTTACTCGTATTAATAATAGTTAATAATAATTAATAGTACTACAGAATTTATTAGATTGTTAGAATTAATTTATTAAACGTAAAAGTTATTAAACGATATCGAAGAATTCCTAATTTTAACACTGTTAAAGTATCTCCTTGATATTAAACCTATAGTTAAGAAATTTAATTCAGATTTAATCCAAAATGAAAATAAGACATTACTCATATTCTTTACACTTCTTCATTACTCGTATCTTGTGTTAACAAATAATTATACGAAATTTATTTATATTGTAATCCCCCGCATACCTACTCGTTTTACACGACTTATCGTAAATGTTTCTTTTTCAGAATTTTCTGATTTTTTTTCACACTCAAGTCGGCATCAGGGGCATATAAAAGTATCCAAGTGCCAACTCTAATCTAAGACGTACACGATAAATGTGTTAATCTTTGATAACCGTTTCTAGAATTTAAAAATAAAGAAAATATACAGAGTAAATATACAGGTAATTTTAATATTCTCAAGGTTTCCACGTTGCAAATTTAATTACTGGAACGCTATTTCATTAAACACGTCTCGACTTCTTGTCTTCCAGCAAAATTTCATCAAAATGTGAAAGTAACAGTTAACAAGTTAACTTGCACCAATGTCCTGAATAAAAATTTTCAAAATTCAAAGTGTGAATTCGAAAAGTGTGAACTAGGGACACCGCCATAAAAGTATGTATAATTTGGAAACAGGGGTTCTAAGACACGTATTTTTTATCTTTATGGGTCTAATGACAATAAATTCCATATCTAAACAACACACTTAAAACAGATGAAATAAACATTATATAGAAATAAACAATTTTCCCAGGTAAATGAAAATTGCTGAAAACGAAATTGTTATTTAATAAAAATATTGAATTTCGATTAAAGCGCTTTTTAATAAATAGTATTTAATTATTTAACTTTATTTTTAATTACTTCATTATTTATTTAATAGAAATAATTTATCGGAGAATGTTTGGAAATATTTTGTAACGACAAATGCATCTGTTTAAAATTTATGAGAAATAATAATAATCAAAGAGCTAACTAACAAATTAATAAAAAAATTGAGAAATTCGTGTCAAATGAATACTGTATAACTTTTAAGGATAGACTATCGCACGGTCCCCATGCTTATTTTTGGCTTTGTGAGTTCAACTCACCTACGAAGTTATATTCATACGTTTTAATACACACCGACTTTTTTTTTTATTCTTCGTTTCTTTTTTTCATTTTGTAGGTCGTAAATTTCCTTCGTCCTCAACGCCGCGAGATTGCCTCGAATGACCGTAAACGATGGCGGATGAACCAGAGACAGCGATAAATCTTCTTTTCGGCAATAAATTCCGTTTCGGACAAATGGCCACGCCGATGTAAAGCGAAATGACATAAAGATATAAAGGGGAACGAAACAAATTTTCATCCCTAACTTTATTCCTCGTCAGGTGTAATCCGTGAAAATGTTCCTTTGCATAAATGATTAAAGGCAGGTTACAAGTTGTGAAAGAATTGTTTAATAGTTCTTACTAATAGCCTTTATTTTCCATTCTTTCTTATTATAGCTCCCAAAATTGCAATAGATTTATTTAGTTTGAATTGTAATATTACAATATAATTATATTTTAATATATAATAATAATATAATAATATAATATTAAAATATTATAATTAATAATATTATTATTATTACAATATTATTATTAATTATAATATAATAATAATATAGATTAAAACATATAATAAATGTTTCAATATGACTTACCAGTTGTTAAACAATTATTTAATTTTTCTTACTATTATTTTTCATTATTTCTTATTATCATATATTTCATGTTATATTATTATATTATATTATATCTCTTATCACAGTTATGTATTACAATATTACAATTTTATATCACAATCATTACACCGTTGTAATATTGAAATACTATCGACTGTAAATAAATACCAATTTTTTGTTCATTCTTAATATTATTTCTTTTTATATTTTTTTATAAAATATTTTCAATGTTACGTGTACAATTGTTTATAATTTGTAATTTATTATTCCTTATCATCTCTGAATATTTACCAAATAATAATTGCTTTTGATTATATTTTTTATGTTATTGACTGTATCATAATCTTATTCGTGCCTCGCGAGTACGTTTGTTAATTTATAAATTGATAACATTGCAAATGAATATATACAAAATGAATGTACAAAAAATTCACGTAATTGGTATTTAACGTGTTCCTAGATTCACTAGGAAATTCTTTCTCGATTTTTCGCTTATATTTATATTCTACATGCATAATATTGCAACATCGAAATAGATTTAAGAAAAATAGAATTTCAAATGAAACTTTCGAAAGAAATCGTTTACACGAAACAACAGTTACAACAAAGAAAGTCATAAATATGTTGTTTTGTTACTTGTAATAATTAAAAAGAAATAGGAAATTACGCGAGTTTATTACTTACAATTGAAAAATAACAACAAAATGAAATTTTTTGAAATAATTCTGTTCCTGTTGTTATTATTAATATTATATAATTAATTAATTATATATTAATTATATATTAATTATATATTATATAATACTTAATTATATATTATATAATACTTAATTTCTGTTATAGATAAACTAAGAGATTGAAGATATCACAAAGACTATGTTTGTTAACATACTTTTATGAATTTCTTTATAGTAATTATACAACTGAAAAATGTACCAATAATTTTACAAATAAATATAAATTTTCCTATGTAAATCAATTATAACTTAAAATAACAATTGTAAAATATAAGTAAAAGTATTTAGAACATAAACAAATTTTTTCTATGAATTCTCTTCATTAAAGAAAATAATTTGTTTATAATACTGTATAATACTGTTTTTTAATTGTTAATATTGATGAAATTATTAGTTTCTTTAGTGAATTTATGTAATTTCATTATAAAAATGAAATACACTTTTCATCAATTACCTATTTTTATACATATAGAATATTCAAGAAATATTTTTATAAATATAGAGTTGAACATAACTAACATTAATTGAATTTAAATTCTTAAGTTTGAAACTTAAGAATCATCTAAATATTTCGTGAATAATTATTAATTATAAATAAATTGTAATCAGGTTTTATTAATAAAATTAAGATCTTTGTTAATAATAATTTAATATTAAATTCCAGTATATCTATCTTTAATAATTTTACGAATAGTGTTACATACTAAACAACTACCCCTATATAAAAATATATTTACATCCATTTTACGATTACTGGAATTAATGAATATCTAAAGAAAATTCTAGAAAATTTTTTTTCATATCGTAAACAATTTTCATAATTTTATTCTTTGTAACCCAGACACACTAAAAAAAAGTTAATAAATACTATTCTAATTTTGTGCCAATTATTTATTAAATAATTATTGTTGAACTGTAATTTATTCGTCGAATGTTTTCATTGAACCTCGAAAATTTTTCTATAAAACGTTAAGAACATCGAATAACTGCAGCGTACCATATAGCCCGTTAAACGAAACCGTGTCACCACTTCTCAGATTAAATCGATCGAGCTAAAGGGTGTTACTATCCTCCTGTATTTATCAAGATAATTTAAACGATTTTCCTAAACCCGTTTTATCATCGAATAATCAAAAACAAACGCATACATTTTGCTGGAGTTAAGCAACAATGTCTAAAGATTTCACTGGGTAAGCACGTACGCATAAAGAACACATGAAAATATGCCGAAAGGATTTCAAAAAACCCAGGCGGAAAACTTCTTTATACGCATGAAACGTTACTATCGCCGTCAGTATTGCAACACTGAACGCGCGCCTTACGTTTGTTTAGGTTCACTTAAACTATATTATAAGAACGTGCCAAACGATTGATCGATTGTACGTGCGACGAAAATCTCGAATCTCGATAGTATGTAGAGGGTCAACTGTATAAACAATAACATACCGCGATAGAAGATGACTAATGGCAAAAATTTGACCAAAGTATCTAATCGAACTAATTAGACAAAATGAAGGTTTACGAGTAGTGACAACACACCGTCCGTAACGTTATTCTCGACGAGGCAAGCACCTGCCAATTTAAAGGTTAGCTCGCTTGGAGATCAAACAGACCGCGTACGGCGCCTCGACTGTCAATCTGACAGCCGCCCGATATAACGTAATCATCGTTCATCGTACCCTTCTAGCGCGGATACAAAGGAATCTCTCGAGTCAGTCGTTTACCATTCGTGCTACGAATCACGGAAACATTCTAACCATCGCGCATCTATATAAACGCATGAAATACGTTGATCCACTTACCGATCAACAGGCAGACCAGATCTATGATGATCCTTCGCAGAATCATTTTCGTCGACGGATCCATGATGATTCAAATTACAGTATTCTTCCTTTCTTGCTTTCTCTCTCTTTCTATCTCGCCTTCTTTCTCTCTCTTCCTCTCTTTCACTTTATGTTTTTTCGTTAAAGTCTTGAAGGAAAGCGTTTAATGGTAATCGGTAAACGTACACGATCTCGATTGAGGCAACGAAATAAGCACGCACAGAAGAGAATGGTTACGCGTGGTCGGGTAAGAAAAACTAGGAAAAAGACCGTCCAGATCGACAGTTCGGAATGGACTGAACGACGCTTGACTGGTGCTCGCGAATCTACCTACGAACAGTACGCAACCGGCCCGATCGAAATCCGAGCGACGACTGCGGCTGCGCCTCGCTCTGCTGCCTCGTTCGCGCATACGACGCACGTGCCTGCCCGGCCTGAATCACAGTCCGTAGTTTAATAATGGGTGCTCATTGTAACATGAAACAAACATGAAACATAAGTCTCCTCCATGAAACATGAATGAACGTTCACCTTTTCAATTACGTTATTTCGTTCTAGCGGACAATCATTGACCGCTTATTATTCTGGCATACGTAATCAAACGTTATATTTTTTATTATTACAATGGTCAATAGAAGCGCACACAACAATGTTTACGAAGAGAAGACGTTGTTCGACAAGAAATCATTTGTATGGCGTTGAGAAATGAATCAAATATGAATTAAAAACAGTCTGCATGCATATTTAATATTCTAAGTAGGTAATTAATATTGCTAAATAGGTAATTAATTTTTATTCTTATAATACAAATAAAGCTTGAAATATTCATTTCTAATTTTGCGTTGGTGATCTCGGAAATTTTTTCTGGTAACTTTATTTCAGTGAATATTTTAGTTTGCCATATTTTAATTTTAAATGAAATTTGTGTATATATGTAAATAACTTTATTTAACAAAACTACTTGAAAGTAAAATTATAAAATATGAAAAATATATAGGTTATTTTCAAACGAAATAATTTGCAAAATTAAATCTTTTCTAGGAAAAATTCTGTCTAGAGTATTAATAGTATTAGTGAAAAGTTATCAAAATTATCGATACACGACTAATTCCTAGTATTATCTGATATTATCAGGCGATAGCAAATTCTTAAAGCAATGATTATCTTGATTTTAGCAAATAATAGATATTAAAAACATGGAATGGAAAAATAGATAGAAAAATATTAATTACACGTTATTACAAATGCAAATTTAAATTATACACAAATAATTTCACTCGTGTTACGATAAAAATTATGTTGCAAATTGTATAACTAAAAAACTAAAATTCTATAACTAAATGATATATTAAAAAGAATAAAGGGAATAAATATTGTATTATGCAAATTAAAACTTTTAACGAAAAAATTAGTATCACAGAAGAATGAAAATTTTATTTTATAAAAATTATAAAAATTTCGATATTGTAGCTAACGCTGCTTTAAGCTATTTTTTGATAAAAGGTTTTGAAATATCTAGTAATAATATTAATTACAAACAAATATTTACTAACATTTCAATAACAATATACATATTTATTTATAATCACAGAAGAATAATTAATTAAACAATTAACTGTGCAATTAAATTACTGAAACAATTAAAAATTTCGCTTAACTGAGTACGACACAAATAACTTTCAACGGTCGTTAATCACAAAAGTGAAAATACCAAGTCGAAAATATCATTAGCAACTCTGTTTCGAAAGTCCAACTTTCATCAAAACTTGAAGAAGAATACTATAAGTATACGAACTTGTTGTAAAGAATTAATAGAATCTATAACAAAAAATAACATTTTTTTAAATTATTCTTTTTATCGGTTATTATAATTATTATTCTTATATCGTTATTACTAATACAAATGGACAGGAGGTGGTGAAAGAATAAATCGAAAAGAAAGAATAAAATTTGTTAATATGGAATTATACGTTCAAAAAATCGAATTTGAAAATTTGGCGAGTGTGCTAAATATAAATTTCAAATTGTCCTTTACTGTTACAACCTTGTATTTTATTGGAATGCAATCTTGATTTAACAATAACAGCATTGATAGAAAACAGATAACATTGTCCATGTTTATACGCACAAACACGAGTAAAAACAAAAATTTTACTTTTTGAAACTTATATTGAGCTACGTATATTCGTCAAACTTTTGAACTCGTTTTTTCCGAAAAGAAAGCTTCGCATAAAAAAATTTTATTATTCATTTTTTACTTATTTTTTCATCACCTTCTACCGATTGTACCATATATCTATGTATATATATGTATATATTACATGTACAGCTTATAATATAATATGTAATATATACATATATATCTATATATTATATGTCTATAAAAACAATCTTTTTATTGTTTTACAATTTTTACAATATTGTTTTTATAAAATTTTGATAAAAGACAATTTTTTAAATTATCTTTTTCACTGTCAATTATAAAAATATGAATCTTTTTAAATAATCCATACATAGGTGTAGGATATATGTATTATATACCTATTAGATAGATATACATATAGAATATAGTTTTCTTCCCTTTTAATTTATAATACTAAAAGTGTATAAATTTTTATTTTTAAAATTAAATGCCATTATCAAAGAAATTGTTAATTTTTAATAATAAAGTTATTACTTTTTTCCACTTCATAAGTAGAACATGCTATCCAACTTTCATTTTCCTCGTCCCCTCTTATTACATTTCTGTTATTTATATCTCTAAATATATTCGAATGAATATATGAAATACAAAATACAAAGAAGCAAACTCAAACTTTTTAATCATGTTTTTTAACACGTCATTGATTGTACAGGATGAAAGATTTCGGAAGGTAATGACCAAATTAGAAAATAATTCATCAGTTTTCAAACAACCTTTTCCTATTTAACAATTCTTTTTAAATGTTTACAGAAGTAAAGGTACCTAATGTATTTAAAATATATTTAAATGTATTTAACACTATTAATAAATTAGATAGACAACATTTGATTGTAATTGTCACGATTCATTTCGAAAAAACGTGTAACGAAATTCATAAATTTGCTATAAGAATAGAACTATGTATGTCATAGATTCCCTTACAATATTCCATTTAATTCTGTCATTCAAAGTTAACATAATTCACAAAACAATTTTCATTGTTCGTGTTATCGTACAATTTATCTTAAGCTCGACTACATTCATGATTTAATAACATCATGATTTAATAACAATTTCAAATACTGCATTCCATTAGCGATTCAACCAGGAAGGAATACAGGGTGCTCCATAGAAGGGGGACAATCTGCTATCTTTAAGGATGAAATAAAATGTTAATCGAATTAATTTCATTTTATTTCATTGTACATGTGAAAGCAAAGACCAAAAATCAGTAAAAATTGGCTTTAACTAAGGTATCAAATTACTGCTACTTTTGACTACTTAATTCTAAAATTGATCGAATACTATTAATTAATACTATTTACCTACATTACCTAAAAATCATTTAATTATTAATAATTCTGTCTCATCTAAAGCATGATAATTAACGAAACTATTAACGACTATTAACGAAATACTTTCGCCACTAAAATCCCTCCTTAGGTAACTGTGTAGTACGCTTAAATAGGAAAAACTAGTAATTACTAAAAACTAGTAATAAACTAGTCATAACCGCAATGTATTAACATTACACAAACGTATTCGATATTTTACTTGATACATAGCATATCCCCGTGCAATTTTAAATTATAAAGGTTTCCCTTCTTTTTGCGAAAGTTTCACTTTAAAGAGCAATTCTTTTTGCAACAATTCTCACATTTTGCCTAGGGAGAACTAGTTTTAACTAACAGAATTCAGTTCTAGAATTAACCATTCTAGAATTAACTAGTCAAAACTAGTATTGACTGATCGTTTTATTTCGACTGTACAAATTTAAAGACGATTTGACTGTAGAAAATTAAAGACAATTAAAAACTGTACTTGTATCCCTTTTTTCAGTAGAACTTTATATTTTTAATTACATTTCACTTTTTGCAGGTTATATCGTCTATAAACGCTAATAACAGGACGAGAAAATTTTGTTTTTTAACCGTCAGAATATTTCACACGTTTTGCTATGAATATAAAAGAAATATGGGAGAAGCACATACTTCGTATGTTAACACTAAGATTACCAAACGAATCAAAATAACTAGTTTCAGATATTTTAAGTTTGAGGTTAGTGAAATTATGCAGGTAATTTTGACAAAGTGAATATCAAATTTATTATCCTATGTATTTATCTTTACCGTACCACGTCAATTATTGTCACTTATGAATAGTATATTTAACTATTCATTACAACTTGATAGAGAAGTTTGAAGTTTCAAACACAGTTTCTTATTCTAAGGTCCTTTGAAGTGCAATGGACCCTCATTCAGATATTTATTGTTGCTCAAATATTCCATGATACTTACTGATAAATTTAAATAATATGTAAATACCAGATATATAATAATCAAAAATGTAAAAAGTAACCAAATGAACATAATCAATATAATATATATTCAAAGCATGAAGTCATTTTATATATATTTGAGCCTCCTTCTAAGTGAATGAATATTGCGCAAAAAAAGATCGTGTATAATAGATCACGTCGAAATTGTTCGCAACAAAATATAAAACTATGTTAAAGTGACGCAAACTATACAAAAAAGACTTGCTATACGTGTTTTAAAAAAGTTAAGAAATAAACGTATCTTCACTGTATGCTATAATATCGAAAAAAGAGGAATTTAAGGTTAACTTGACATTTTTGCAAACTGAGTGAAAGTAAAAAATATATAATAAATGGCATGAAAAAGCATACAAGAATACATACATAGCACATCCATGCAGGGCCGAGCGAGGCAGGTTCAACGCGTTCACCTGGCCCCGCGTTTTTAAAGTCCCCGCGGTCTACGAAAACTCATCAGAGATTTTGCAACAACCCCTGTACAGTAGATTGAATATTCGGACGTATAAAATCGCATAATCCATTAATCGATGACAGCTTGCTGCACACTGACACGAGTGCAAGATTTTCCTTCCTATATTTGCATCGAAATATTTCGTTACAGCTTGTTGCCATTAAATATTGACATCAAACGATGATACGACTGCAACACGGATGCAAAAGATATTAGGTGTTCAGGAAATCTCCCAATTAGAAAACACCGATTTTCATTAAACAGATGCAAGACATTTTTATAATAGCCATGATTCAGTTTGAAGGAGTGAGAAAAATCATCAAAGTTCAATGTAACTCCACAAGGTCCTCGTATCATGGAAACTATCTCAGATAAAAGAATACTTTCAGAG